TCCATCCATCCATCCTTCCTTCCTTCCATCCATCCTTCCACATTTCCATCCATTCATCCATCCATCCATCCTTCCATCCATCTTTCCATCCATCCTTCTTTTCTTCTGTCCATCCATCCTTCCATCCATCCTTCCATCCATCTATCCTTCCATCTGTCTTTCCATCCATCCTTCTTTTCTTCTGTCCATCCATCCTTCCATCCATCCACCCATCCTTCCTTCCTTTCTTCCATCCATCCATCTATCCACCCACCCATCCATCCATTTTTGAGAACTGCTATGGATCTGTAGGAGTCCTGGTTTGGTGGTGTAAGATAAGCATTGAATTTCTAATCATAAGGTAGGGGGTTCAAACCCACCAGCTGCTCCTTGGAAATCCTACTCAAGGACACTATGAGTTGGAACAGACTCAACAGCACTTACCAATTACAATAATATAATATGGAGTCCTGGTGAGGCACTGCAGGACTGAAAGATCAATTTGAACTGCAAGGTCAGCAGTTCAAACTCATTAGCTGCTCCTCAGAAAAACTATACTGAATCGCTATGAGTCAGAACCAACTCAATAGCACTTAACAACAACAACATAATATAATAAGGAGTCCTGGTGTGGCTCTATAGGATAAGTACTAGACTGTTAACCATAATGTTGATGGTTCAAATCCACCAGTCACTTCTCTGTAACAGGGACACTATGAGTGGGAACCAAGTAGACAGCACTAACAACATCATAGTATAATCAAAGTCTCAAAATTACAATGCCAACATTACCCCAATAAAACCACTTAGCAAGATTTAAAATTTGTTTGCTGTTCTTTTTGCCCTCTGACTCTATTCTCTTGTTGTTGTTGCTAAGAGCTGGTTGAGTTCCTTCCCACTCATACCCTATGTAGGATTTCTGAGACAATAAGTTTTTATGGGATCAGAGAGCCTCATCTTTCTCCTGAGGAGTGGCTGATGAGCTCCAACCACCAACCTTGTGGTTCATAGTCCAATGCTTATTGAACAGAGCCACGGTATTCCCCACTCTGTTCTGTAATGGATGTATGTGTTTGTAATATCATGGTCAAATCTTACTGCAATCATTATTTTTGGATATTATGTTGAGTTAGCCACAGCTCTTTCTGTTTGCCTTCAAGACAATTGATCTATTAACATTATCTTTTCATCCAACAGAAGCCTGCCAATGAAGTTACGTACCAAAACTCTCCCAGCAGAGCGCAACAGCTCAGCATACAAACCTCTAGCAAAATCTCCCAAGCTGAGAAGTAAGAACTGTACCATTCTTGATTGCTGAACACAATTATTTTAAAAATCCATGATTAAATCTTTATCATTCCTATGTTCATACATGCTAACTTATCAAAAACTGCAAGAACCAAAATTTAAAGAAATGCCTTGTAAGTATGTGCTATAGAAGCCAGTGATACAGACTAGCTATAGGTAACTCTTGTTTATTTGCTATATCACAGGCTAGAGAGGGGTCAGATCACTTAAACCCACTAATAGTGATACGGAGTCTTGGTGTGGGGCTTGTAGGATAAGCACAGGACCAAAAGGTTGGTTTGAACCAGAAAGCCAGAAGTTCAAACTCACCAGCTGCTCTGAAACCCTCAAATACAGGGTTGCTATGAGTCGGGAACCTACTCCATGGCACTTAACAACAACAATAACAGGAAATAATCTGGCAAATGTGTACTCAAGGAGCTCTGGTAGCATAGTGGTTACAAATTGGGCTGCGAACCACAAGGGCAGCAGTTCGAAACTACCAGCTGTTCCTTGGGAGAAAGATGAGGCTTTCTGCTCCCATAAAGATTTACAGCCTCGGAAACCCTGTACAGGGTCGCTATGGGTTGGAACCAACTTGACGGCACTTAACAACAACAACAAACACAAAAGAATGCTTGTCCTTGGCATAACCTTGTCCTTGGGGCTTCTCTTCATTTCCCTCAACACCTTCAAGGTTAAAAGAGAAATCTGTGCTGTTCTCTGGTAACCAGGGAAAAGACCAATTCTTCTGTGGTTTCTGAATGTCCGACAAACCACAATTACATTCACCCTTTTCCTATCAGTAGCTGAGTCAAAACGTCCTGCACAGCTTCAGTGGAATGACTACACCCCACAATTCCACAAAGCAAAGGAAGGGTGTATCTGCTTTGTATCTCAGGAGGTGGAAGCTATTTCCAGGTCCTAGAAGGAGAGAATGAACCAGAGTTTAACCTACTGCTACAATGCAGCCATTCCTCTAAGTGCTCAGTGGCCCTACCTGCTTGGCTACATCATTGAAGGGAACAGTGAGCGAGACAATCCCCAACTCATCATTACATGGATTTGTAATGTACCACATGATTCTTATTTGTCCCTTAACAGATCTTCCTTTCCAATAATATTGGCTCCATTTAATACTAAAATTGTAATTTATTGAATTGTTGTTGTTAAGTGCTGTTGAGTCGGTTCTGGCCCATAGCAACCCTGTATAGGGTTTCTACGGAGCGACTGGTGAGCTTGAACCGTCAACCTTGCAGTTCAAACCATACTTTGCAGTCCACAGCGCCACACCTACTCGTGACCAAAAATTCTATGGAAACTTTGGAGGTGGGGGACAGACTGCTTCTTAAAATTCAAGTGCGTGAAATGTCTTGTCTTTATTTTTCTAAATAAACTTCTGCTCTGGTCTGCAAACAACAAGGAAAGAGAGCTGGTTTAATTTGGACTCTCTTGAGCTAGCAGGAGCTGACACAATCCACAGCTTTCAAAGGCACAAAATTCATTCTCCATCCTGTGAGTTCTGGTACCAAGAGGGGGTAAGGGTTCATGCGTTGAAGGAAATCCCCTATTCTAACCCACCCTCTTCCCAGATTCCAGAAAGTTACTCCCTCCCCAGAATCAGGACAGAGGTCCCAATATGAGAAGAGCTGGCTCTAGCAGAAGTTTTCTATGTGGCCATTAATAACAATAGTGCTATTGATGTTGTTGTTCTTAAGTAAGCCAACATTTTCAAATTAGAAAATAAAAGTCTGAATGATGTATAGTTTCTCTTCAATAGTCTGTGATCCCTACGTAGAAATAACTGGCTACAACTGAGTAGAGGCCAGATCCTTTAGTTTAGGTCTGTCCATGGAAGGGACTTGGACTTTATCCTATACTCAACAGGAAGGCTTTGAAGATAAGTAACTGGTAAATGACATTTTATTCTAGATATTGTCTTTATTTCATACGACAATATCATCATTGCATTTTATAGCAATCGTATTTATAATACTGATAACTATGGTTTCAGATGATCACTGAAATTTACCTATATTGTATATGTTGTGTCATGTTTCATTTGCTATAAGGTTGAAAACTGAAATCCAAAGAGCCAAGTGTTACAATTTTCTGTTTGACTCTGAAAGGCTTTTTATGATTTTCCAGGGTCAAAGTTAAATTCCTCTTGGAGATTTTCATTTCCCTTTGGCTAGTCAGTGTAAGACTTACTCAAAATGTATGTTTTAGCTTCAGTTAATTCATCTGAATTGGCATTTTGGTGGATTGGTTATGTACTGTGGTCGATTCTGACCCATTGTGACCCTGTTTAGGGTTTCTGAGGCTGTAACTCTTTACAGAAGCACAAAGCCTCAATTTTCTCCCACGGGACAACTGGTAGTTTTGAACTGCTGACCTTGAGGTTAGCAGCCCAACTTGTAACCACTATGCTACCAGAGCGCCTTTGTAGTCAGCAAACAAAGCATTTGATTAGATGGGAGAACAGTGGCAAGAGCAACTTTAATGTTAGACACGCTGAGTCCCAGCCCTGTGACCTTGGGTCATGATGTGTTGCCAAGTGCCATCGAGTCTGAAGAGAAGTTGGTGGCAAAGTTGGCCATATTGGTACTGAGCTATAGGATCAGCACTGGACTGTGAATCACAAGGTCGGCAGTTCCAACTCACCAGTTGCTCCTTGGAAACCCTGTACAGGGTTGCTATGAGTCAGAACTAACTCGATGGCATTTAACAAGAATACTTACACACATATATAGTATATTTACAGTTCTAGAATTCAAAACCCTCTGAATTTTAAAACCCATCTGGCCCCAAGCATTTCTGACAGGGCACTGTGAACCTGCCCTTGTTTTCTTGCTTAGTAACCCAGGACTGGTTCAAGGATAAGAGTGGATGGAATGAAACAGGATCACAATCTTTTCAATTGTTTTAGAATTCCAGCAGAAGGTGGACCATGTACTCCAGTTGTGTGTTATGACGCTACGCTCTGGCCATACCATAAAAAAGGCCTGCTACTTTAAGAATGAAACCACCAAAAGGACATCCTCAGAAACAGGTAAGGGGTGTTGTATACTTGGTAGCAACTGTTTTTTTATTTATTTAGTTTTATTTTGTTGTTTTTGAGACTAGACAGAGCAGAACATTCACTAACTCAACAATGTCTACATATACCAACTCAGGGAACTTGATTGCACTCTTAAGTCGTACATTCATTTCACCTTCCTTTACCGAATCATTCCTCCACCATGAACATGATCTCATTGCCTGGCAATTCCTAACTATCGTGATGCACAATCTATTTGCCTTCATTCATCACAAACACACACAGAAGTGTTCCTCACCCAGATTTTCCTGTGGAAAAAAGCACAAGGATGGCGGACTGTATTCTAATCATTTAAAAAGTGGCAGATAAATAGTTTTTAATAACATGAGGGAAATTGTTACTATAACATTAGACATTGAAATACATTGAAAGCAGAAGATATAAGATTTTATATAATATGAGGAGGGGGGCTACAAAAAGTTCATGGAAAAATTCCACTATCTTTTCATTCTACTTGTCCACCAACTTTTTGAAGCCTTCTCATATACTTATAATGATATTTTTTTAACTGTTCTTTTAATTTAAAGGAAGTATGCAGAGAAAATTTATAGTGGTTGACTTTGAGCTGTAAGGTCATGGTGACTAATTGTCCTCTCCACCCCCACCCTGGTCTCCAATGGGTGTGCCAGCTGGGTTGTAAGTGTGCCAGGAGCTATTGATCCCTTCATACCTTGAGTTGGTAGATACCCCTGGCAGCAAGCAGACCCAACAGGAAATCCTTGGAAGACAATGTTTGAAGAATGGGGATTGACAGCCGATCCCCACTCTCTCCTCTATCCTGCAGGTAACAAGCACAAAAAACAACATCTGGTCATCTGTAACTGCCGATCACCACCTGCACAAAGATTGCCTCCACAGAAGATAGTCTTGGAAACACACAGGGAGGAGAAACGTTCAACGGACAGAGGTATGACTGGTCACAAGGCTCAAGTATGGGTGGACAAGGTGGTAAGACACAGGACCCTGGTAAGTGCCACTCTGGGCAACAACCCCAAGTCTGCATCTTCACATGTTACCAGAAACTTCTGTACCTTTGCAGTTGATGTGCCCATTGTTGCTGAGAAGTACCATAGAGTCGGTTATGAATCTTAGCAACCCTCAACAGGGTTTCCAAGGCTGTAAATCTTTCCTGGTGTGGTGCTGTGGGTTAATGTGCCAGACTGCAAAGCCATTTGAACTGCAAGGTTGGCAGTTCAAGCTCACCAGCTGCTCTTTGGAAACCCTATACAGGGTCGCTATGGGTCAGAATTGACTCGACGGCACTTGACAACAACAACAACAAATCTTTATGAGAACAGAAAGCCTCATCTTTTTTCCCAACTAGCTGGTGGGCTCAAACCGCTAATGTTGTGGTTGTTGTTGTTAGGTGACATCAAGTTGGTACCAACTCAAAGCAACCCTGTGCATAACAAAGCGAAGCATTGCCCAGTCCTGCATCAACTTTACAATCGTTACTACACCTCAGCCCACTGCTGTTGCCACTGTGCCAGTCCATTTTGTTGAGGGTCTTCCTCTTTTTCTCTGACCCTCCACTTTACCAAACATGATATCCTTCTCCAGCAACTGGTCCCTCCTGACAATATGTCTGAAGTATGAGAGATAAAGTCTGTCCAACACAGATCTATTTGTTCTATTGACAGTCCATGGTACTTGCAATATTCTCCTCCAACACCATAACCAAATAAATCAATTCTTTCCATCTTCCTTATTTGCTGTCCAATTTTCACATGCATATGAGATTATTGAAAATACCATGGCTTGAATCAGACACACCTTAGTTCTCAAACTGACATTTTTGTTTTCCAACATTTTATACAGGTGTTGCGCAGCAGATTTGCCTAATGCAATACATCATTTGATTTCTTGACTGCTGCTTCCATGAGTGTTGATGGTTGATCCATGCAAAATGAAGTCTTTGATAACTTCAATCTTTTCTCTATTTATATGGATGGTATTTATTGGTCCAGTGGTAATGTTCTGATTGTTGTTAAGTGCCATAGAGTCAGTTCCGACTCATAGCGACCCTGTACAGGGTTTCCGAGGCTGTAAATCTTTACAGGAGCAGAAAGTGTCACCTTTGTCCCATGGAACAGCTGGTAGTTTAGAACTGCTGACCTTGCAGTTAATAGCCTGATTCATAATCACTATGCTACCAGATCTCCTAATGTTCTGATTAGCAGTCTAGTATTTATCCTACAGAGCCATAGTGTCAGTTAGTGTTGTACAAAGAAGGTGGAGGGGTAGCTGCTGTTTCAATGCATGTGCATTCTACAATGAAGCACCCCATTCTTATTTTGAAACGCTTCCTATGAATTTGATTTCTGTATGTATTATTCCTACTGAAACGTTGTATCCCCTGAGGTAAAACACATTACCCAAGAAATTTCAACATTTTGTCAAAGAAAGAAAAGCAAGAGTTGTTAGGTTTTTAAAAATATAAATTTGACTCTCATATATTTTAGCTAGTTTTCAAAGTTTTGAATTCTATCACCTACTTACATAAACAGAGTTCCAAGTAGGTTATTCAAGTGACTGTCAAGAATTAAAGAGATTGCCATTAAGAAAACTTGACCAAGAATTGCATATTGTAATTTTAAACATAATTCCTGATGTAAATAACTTAACATCTCAGAGACATACTGGAAGTTTCTATCCCATTAGATATTCTCAAATCATGTAAATTTAGAAGTTTGTTGAAAAATTCTAATTTTAACATTCTCCTAAATATTTTGTATATTCTTTTTCTTAGCATAATTCTGTAAGGGGAAGAAGATTAATGACCCCCTCCCTCCAGGGTCCATAGGTTATGGTTGTTGTTCAGTGCTGTTGAGTCAGTTCTGACTCGTAGCGACCCTGTATAGTGTGTCGAGGAACAGCTGCTGGGTTTCAACTGCCAACCTTATGGTTTGCAGTCCAGTGCTGATTCAACACCAGGAGTCCAGGTTCCACATAGGGAGCTGTAGTTTACTTCAGCATGCAATAAAGAAATCATTTTCTATGTGTAATGTGACATTATTAAAAATTAAAAAAAAGAAGAAGTATTGCATGTCTGTCTATCAGAAAACTCTGAATGACTCCACCCCTTATAGATGGATATTTATTAATCCACATCCATTAAAATACATTCTCTCCTTGTCCACTGCTTGCTACCATGGGAAGTTAGGACCTGGAGATTCTTATAGAAGAGTCTTCAATAAAACACATTCTCTTCTTGTCCACTGTACAATTCCATGGGGAGCCAGGATGTGGAGGTTGTTGTAGACAGGGCCTCATTAAAGTACATTAAAATACAGTCTCTTCTTGTCCACTGTCTACTACCATGGGGAGCTGTCCCTTTTCCAGCTTTTCTCCCTCACGCCCCAGCCCCTGTCTTGTGCACACTAATGTAACCTCCCATGACCCCAATGAAGAGGAAGGAGCTGGTACCTTTAGATCCATTCTGCTTTTACACCTCAGCCTTGGAGCTACATAAATCTTGTGTCCAAGGATTCATCTGCCTTCTAAAGAGGAAGGAGAGTTATCACAACAGGCAAAGTGTGTTCAAATTGAAAAAAAGAAAAAAAGTATTCTTTGAGGAGGGATTTAATCAAGAGCTTGCTAAATGTATTGCTCAGGGAAACACACTTCTTTTTTTTTTTTTTTTAAGTGACAGGACCCAGACCTGTGTTAATACAACATGCTTCTCTGAGCACATTCGACGACCAGTTAATCACTTTTGCTGATGAGGGCGGGGTTTACACCATCTATGTTGAAGACCTGAGGAAAAAACAAAAGAAAAGTAAGACATTTCCTTTCATCTGTAATGATGTGGAGATTACTGGTACCGCAACAAACAAATCTACCAAACAAGAAATCTTGTATGAACAACAAAGTGGTCTCATACTGTATGATTCCTCTAGTCAATGGCAGTAGATGCTTGAGCATCGCTGTGTTGAAATGGATTCTGAAGCTTAATCATTCATCAGGGAAGAATGTCATTATTGGAAAGTGATATCATTTGTGAAAGTTGGTAAGAGGAACCACATATGTTGACTGTGGCTTAATGATCTGTTAAATTGTTCAACCTTATCAATATCCCCAAAGGATAACCTCTACCCACTGCCAGTCCAGTGTCATTGAGTCAATTTAACCTCCACCAAAAGACCATGCTAACTGCAATACTTTAAGTATTCTAATAACAACTGTATTTGGAAATTCACCAGAGCATATTCATTCATTTTTTTCATATTCATAAATGTTTTAGAGCTTCCTCAGAACCACAAAGTGTTGCTTTTATTGGTGTATAAAAAAGTAGAATGCTTTCTGATGTATATATGTTGGAACTGAACCCTTTAGAAACTACTGGATCTCACTAAACGGATTTTATGCATTCTCTTTCAGACAAGGTAGTACTCCTGTGTTATGACTCTAAAATCCCCGCAGGCGAATCAGGTAATTTGGAGGGATGGGTAGCTCTAGTACTTGTATTCTTAAGTTTAGAGTAAAGACAAATCCAGAAGTGGTCCACAGGGAAGGAAGACATAAACTAGCATCTCAGAACGTCCTCTCCAACACAAGCGCATGAGAAAATCGTATCTTCTTAGAGAATTTACTCCATCCCATCTATTTCGTTGTTCAGTGTTTGGTTAAAGGTTTGGTTACATGTAAGACATCCAAAATCATGGTGCCTTAAGCAAGATAAAACTTTATTTCCATCTTAGCCAGCCTGGAATGACAGCTTGTTCAGCAACCATGAAAGCATCTTTCATCTTGTGGCTCTGCCAGCATCTCCATGGTTCAGGAAAACTCATTGTGTCCATCTTCCAAGTCCTGGTCAGAGGAACATGGACGTATGCATTCATTTTAAGGACATAATCAAGACTTCCGCTAGTCTCCGGCTGCTCAGAACTTAGCCACATGGCTAACCTCAGCTACAAGAAGATTGTCTGGGGATGTTCTATCATGTTATGCACAAGAGGTTGTTGTTTTTGTTAAGTGCCGTCGAGTCGGTTCCGACCCATAGCGACCCTGAGCAGGGTTTCCAAGGCTGTCAATTTTTACGGGAGCAGAAAGCCTCATCTTTCTCCTGTGGAGCAGCCGGTAGCTTTGAACTGCTGATCTTGCGGTTCACAGCCCGATTCGTGACCACTGCACTACCAGAGCTCCTATGTACACGAGGAGGAGTTGGATATTGGGAGAAAACTATTAGTGGTTTTCACATGAAGACAAGGACGCTGATGGCCACAGAGGTGCCCATTAGTCACAATTCTCTAATCAGGAAGTATAAAAGATAACTCACCACCTCTCACTTGGTTTTTGAAGTACTCCTATTTAATGACTCCTTCATTGCATTTGGGAGCAGATATTTCAGAGATTTGTCAATGAATGAAGTAGTTCTTTTCAATGATGTCCTGGACTCTTTTGTAGGATGTCACATTTGTTTAAAATAGTCATAATCCTTAACTTCGTAATTTACTTATTCCCCTCCCCCCACTTGTAAGGGTATGAGGCTGGTGCTGTGGAGTATATGGTAAACCTGAGTCTTTCAGCAAACAGAAACTTCTGTCTGCATGCCGACAGCAAGCAGCTCTCCGTGGATGTAAGAGAGGTATGTACTTAACTCTCATGGCTGCCTCCATCCAGTCTTGATCATTTAGATGGTTGGAGTATTTTGGTCTTCAAAAACCTTACTACTGGAAGTCTACTGTCCACCCCCACCACACACACACACTCCAACTAGGAGCTTGTTAGAAGTGGAGAGTTTCAGGCTCCCCACAACTGAATCAGAATGAGACTTTCAATACATCTCTAGGTGGTTCATGTGCACATTAACGTTTGAGAAACATTGCTATTTTAAACTCATGGTCACTGAGTCTACTCTGACTCATAGCGACTCGACAGAACCTATAAGACCCAACAGAACCTATAGGACCCCATAGAACCTACAGGCCCCTTCAGAAACTGTCGGGCCATAGGATTTTCAAGTCTGTAAATCTATATAGAGCTGGGGACTTTAGACCCAGAGAGGGAGAGCAGCTCTGTGTTGACAACTGGGGGACAGGCTTGTAGGGTATACCCTTTGGTTTGTTGATGATGCATGGAGGGGATTGTAACCATGACAACAAAATGATATACAATAGGATGAATGTAAAACTAATGTTCTCTCATGTAAACTATCACATACTTCACAATAAAACATTTAAAAAAAAATCTTTATAGAAACAGACTGCTACCTCTTTGTCCCCAGGAGCAGCTGGTGGGTTTGAACCACAGACCATTCAGTTAGCAGCCCAATGGTTAACATACTGCAAAAGAAATGCTATATCCAGACCCAGTCCTCTAAGCCACACTGCTGCTCAAAGTATACATCCTGGCTCTCAACAACAGACCCAGTCCTCTAAGCCACACTGCTGCTCAAAGTACACATCCTGGCTCTCAACGAAGCAATTTCCCCTCGTGTGGTCTTCCACCTCCTTCTACCTCCCACTCTTCTCCCATTTAGTAATCCATACCTGAATACAAAGGCACTCTGGGAGTGTAGTGGATACCAGTTAGGCTGCGAATCTCAATTCAAAACTACCAGCTTTTCCACGGGAGAAAGACGAAGCTCCCATAAAGATTTATAACCTCAGAAACCCTATGCAGAGTCACTATGAGTCGGAACCAACTCCACAGCACAGAACCACCAACCACCATCACCACATGAACATAGGGAGGTGAAGTCGACTCTGAACTTCCCACTCTCCAATTGCTTACTGTCTCTCTTTTTTCCTCAGTTCCCAGAACTCCAAAAGCCGGAACAGACCTTCTTTCTCCTTCGTAGGCCATCCGCTATTCATTATTCATTTGAATGCAAGAGCAAGCCTGGAACTTACCTAGGGGTCAGCGGCAACCACCTGGAGCTAATTCCAGTAAAGGAACCCTGGGAGCCAACCATTCAACAAAGGATCATGTTCAAGCTGTTAATTTAAATATACTGGGAAGCATTGATCTTAGGTTGAGTGACCCAAAGAGCTGCCACTGTAGAAGTGCTGAGATGTAGAAAGAGACAAGCAGCATCTAAAGGAAATGGGACGCTCAGCACACTCTGGAATGTTTTCCTTGTTATGGATGAGGTGTTTTTCCCCTAACCTTTCAGTTCTGCTTTTCATTTCACTCCTACTGTACATTTAATATGTTGTTGTTGTTAAGTGCTGTTGAGTCAGTTCTGACCCATAACAACCCTGTCCAAGGAGTAGCTGGTGAGCTTGAACCACCAACCTTGCAGTTCAAACAGCTTTGCAGTCTGGCGCATTAACCCACAGCACCACACCAGGACTCCACATTCAATCTAAGTATCTGTATATTAAATAGGGTATTGCTAATGAAAGTAGCAATGATTATGAGGTTGGCCCAGGATCGGGCAGTGTTTTGTTCTGTTGGGTACTGACTTGATGGTACCTACCTACCACAACAACAACAATGAAACTTGCAGGCCTTCAAAAGATACAGCCTGACCTCCACTTTTATACCATTTCAGTCCAGGAAGAACTTCACATTTAGAATTGAGGCTTCTGGGAAGGAGCAGAGAGCCAAGACTCTGTTTGGGTGGGGAGCCATTTTAAAGAGCTACACAAGGACATTGTTTTCCCTGGTTCCAAACACTAAGTGTAAACACTAGAGCAAGGCAAGGCTAAGCCAAACATTAAGAAAAATAAATCCAGTATTTGAAAAGTCATTAATTTCATCCCTGGTTACATTTTTTTCAAAATTTGATTTTTCTATATTGAATTTACCTAAAGTAAGTTGTTCTTACATTAGGAAGTGAAATAAATTGTAGACCAGACATCTCATTGAAATCATTGTGAATGTATTGCTGTTGTTAAGAGCCATCAAGCCAGTTTTGTTCACAGAGATCCATGCTGGATCTCTGAGGAGCAGTTGGTGAGTTTGAACCTCCAACCCCCTTGAAGGTTCAACATAAGATAAAAGACTGGTTCCTAGTCCAGTGCTTATCCTACAGTGCCACACCAGGAGTCCAGTGCGAAGGTATAACAAGCTTTTTTTCCCCCTAAAGTGGACCATGATGTGGATTTGGGCAGCAATTCTAACCTGAGATCTAAGCACACAGTGAGGCCAGACGTCCTCAACCTGTTAAAGTTGGGATGTTACAATGTCCTGTCTGTGACACATCATGGCTTCTGACCCTACCTTTCAGGGATCGATGACTGCTGATGCTCTCGTTGTCACCTGGAACAGACATTCTTCTAATCTTTGTTTCCTATGGGCACATCAAGTCTTTCTGGATAATCCCAATTACCGTAGCATATCCATATGACTTCCGTCCCTTGACTTATGGCCAACTGTGTCATTGATGTATCTTGTGCACACCTTGAGCGTCACTTCCCTACTGCCTGACCTCTAGATGCTAACACCTTTCTTTTGCTTCATCCACCTGGTGTTGTAGAGTTTTATATAAGTCTCTTGATAGATTTAACTGAACACTATTGAGTTTTATAGCTACTATAAAGGTAGTAAAATACATACTCAACTATATAACAACAGTAGTCAACTACCAAAGGGCTTGATTTTGCTTGTTTTAAAGTTAGAGCATTTTATTACTACATTTTTACACAGGTTTAGCACAGTAAATGATAAATAAAATACGGAAAGTCGTCTGAACTGTGGCCTTTTATGAAAGTGTGGGCTTTAGAAGTTTTCATTTGTTGGAGATCTGTTTCTAGTGGAACATAAGATAAAAGACTAGGTCATGCAATTGTAGAACAATATATCTGGGTTTCACTGCTTTGTCGATTGTTACGTTATAGAGACAAAAATAAAAGTATAATCAAATCCATTCTTTCAGAACACTGAATGTTAACCATGTAGCTCTGTATACTACACTGAAAATGACTACAGTTATGCAGTCGAATATATCCATTACACTGTCTATATTCTTAAATAAACTATTTTCAAAAGTATAGGAGATCTTATTGATTTTATCATGAAATGACTCGCAACCCTGAAAGTCTTAAGTGAGAGTAAGCACACACCAGTTCATCAACATCAGTAGTGAGAGTAGACCATTTGTCAGTTACTTTTTGTGACTCTAAGCTAAGTAAGAGATAAGACTCAGGAGAAATTTGGAAAGAAAACTGTGAATCCAATTAAAATGCAGCAGCAGCATTTAAATCTGAAAAGAATGACTCCCACTTCCACAAAATCAAATGATGCAAAAAATTCACAATTCTAATCATTGTGCCTCAAACTGGATTCAGTCTGCTGAGAAATTTCAGCAGAATGGGTAGAGAAATCTTGAAATGAAATCTCAAAATCCCTTCTTCCCTCAGAAGAAATCTCATGGTCCTGGTAGCGTAGTGGTTACGAATCGGGCTGCGAACCTTAAGGTCAGTGGTTCGAAACTACCAGCCGCGAGAAAGATGAGGCTTTCTACTCCCGTAAAGATTTACACCCTCGGAAACCCTGTACAGGGTCGCTATGGGTCGGAACTGACTCGACGGCACTTAACAACAACAACAACAGTTATCTGTAAACACACGCTGGGCATACAGGGCTCTTTTGGGCACCATTAAAGCACTAAAGAAACCCAATCTATGTTCTTTGTCCACAGAGGTCTTAATACATGCGATATGTATTAAAACTCGACCTTTGCAGCTCACAGTGAGAGAGGTCAGTGTAGGTTTGTCATCAAAGAAATCAGGCTGAATTCTCTATCCCTGTACACCAGCATCCACTGCCCTCTGTTCATAGAACTATGCTGAAAGTCAGGTTAAGCAGGTTCCTGCTCTCTGCCCCTGGCTGGGTTTTAGTACGGTTGAGAATCAAGAATGGATGCAAGAAAGTGAAAGGCAATCGATAGAGAACGAATGCTGTACTTCCTGCTTAGGTGCCATGACATTTCTCCAAGTCCAGTTACAGTCCCTGGCCTGGAAGACACTTTGGTGAAGAGAATACATGAATCGCTGTTAGCAGGCTGAGTGATTTCAGCAAATTATGCAACTCCACTGAACCTCTATTTTTTTCTCTGTAGTTGTCTACCCAATATCCATCACCACCACCCTTATTTCCTTACCATGAAACTTCATCTTGTACAGGGCAGCTAAGTTTTAGTGTCCAACTGAAACTACACTGCTTCCCAACTTCCCACTGCAGTTAGACATGATAGCCGTTTGACATAGCTCTGGGCAACAAGATGTAAACAGGATGTTGTTGGTGTTATTAAGGGCCTTTGAGTCAGTTCTGACTCATAGCAAGCCTGTAGCAGGTTTCCAAGGAGCGCTGGTGGATTTGAACCACCAACCTCATGGTTAGCAGTCAAGTGCTTATCCTAGAGTGCCACCCCAGGACACCATGAGCACGATAATGGTGTGAAAACCAGTTTTTGTTTAAGGGGACATGTTTGTCATGCCCTTTTTTAGTCTTTCACCTCTCTCCCTTTCTTCCTACCTGGATCACATATGAGGGGACTTCAAAACTTTCTCATGAACATTTTGCAGCGTCTTCATATGTGAGGCTGAATGTAGAGGAGTCGACGTCTGACAATGAGGTTGTTAAGTATGAGGGAAAAGGCCTTCATGTTAAAAATACAGGTGGGAATGATGGTGTTGCTGACAATATTGGTCCTCTGCCCAGATCCTCTTGGATTGTTTTCTACTAGATCCTTTGGCAATATTTCCATAGGGACCACCCACTCACTACCAGTACATCATCTATCACGCCAGCACTGGCAACTTCCGAGGAAGAACGCCGTAGGTTGATGGAGCTGATTTAATGAAAAGCATCTGTGAATCAGCGTTCCACCCACCAGCCTCATAGGCGTTGGAAAGCCAAGTTCCCGTATTTTGAGTTAGAACAGCTCTGTCTTAAGATACATTCCCAAATGCCTTTGTGGCTAACACCCGAAGGACAGGTCTAGCACTCTGCTTCCAGAAGGTCACAGCCTTGGAAACCCTATGGAGAAGTTTCACCCTGCACAATGGAGTTGCAATAAGTTAGAACAGACAAGAACAATCTTTATACATCAGGAGTCAGGGACAATGTTCATTTTCATCTATATAAGTTTGTATTGCCTAATTCCCTTACATTGAACAAGGGTTTCTTTTCCAGTCAGAGAAAGTAAAAGACCGATGTCCATTTTCAAAAGAAAATTCAAAGCAATCCTACTTTCTTTATCCCTAGCTCATCAACAAAACTTTCTGATTTTTATTTGTTTCCAAGGAATTTGGTACTTATGCATTCATTAGTACCAACAAAATGTTAATGAATGCCAAACATCTGTCAAGAACAATGTCAGGTACTGGGGATATAGAGATGAATAAGAAATTGCTGAGACCCTGAAGGAACTCACAGCCTAGTGAGGGAGACAGCAATGTAAACAGGTTGCTTACAGTCCCACGTGATAAGACCTATTGTGCAGGCATAATATACACAGTCGTTCAACACCAACACTGACTGCACATCTGCTATAATCTGAGCACTATGCCGGCTGCCAGGAATGAGCCATACAATGCAAGCAGGCCCTCCCTAACACTTACTGACAGACACACTGAGGAGAAAATGTCCTTGAAGAAAGAAATGATATTGAGGAGGATGTTGGAGCACTTGGCTTAATTCCACGTTCTTGTGTCTTCACGGTATACTCAGGTGCTTGAATAAAAGGAGGAAATGCATGAAATCAAAATCTCTAATGATGCAGATCCCAAAGGAAGTCATTCAATGAGCTTTCTGGTCTATACATCAGTTACAGATGTTTAGTGCTTCATTATAGTAGTTCAAAAGGGGAAACAACCTAAATGCCTATAAGCTACTGAGTTTCTGGATAAAAAAAAATATCCATACCATCAAAAATAAACAACTTAAAACAACATTACAGGGAGCCATCACAGCAAGCAAGCCATCAAGTCCCTTTAGG